GTGTGTCTCTCTCCCTCGTACTCTCTTTCCCTCTTTCCTTCTTTCATCCTTCCCTTCCTTCCTAGGGAGAAACACTTCATTTTTATTTTTTTAAAAGTAAGAATTGATTACATTTTATTTTTTTTAATTTCTATATATATATTACCTCATTATTCATTTTTGTACAGTTTGCTTTCTCCTCAGTTTTAGTCCCCATAAAATTCCCACCACCAAGTCACCCTTGTACCATCACCATAAACTCTTCTGCAATTCCTGCCCCTGTTTTAACCCCTCTCTCTCCCCTCTCCCTTGTTGAATATCTCTGATTTTTAGTTGCCTGCTAGTTTTGTCTTTTTTTGTGGGGGAGAGGGGAACATTTTATGTTGTACTAGCCAGTGAGCTAAAAGGCAGGCCAATTAACTTTCCATTTCCAGCACCCTGGAAAGCTGGCTCATAGCACCCAAGCCCAGTCCTTTGTCCCTCCAAAAGAAAACCACTTTTTTCCTCTATCACATTGATGATTTTTGTAATTTCTGAACATTAATAAATGAAATTATACAGTATGATGATTTTCTTTCAAAACATGACATTCTATCATTTCACTTTCTGTTATTGTTATTTAGATATAAACTTGCATAATTTTCATTTTGTCAAAGTATCAAAGAACTTGATTATCACAGGGTCCTAAGTCAGCACTGGACCAAGCTTCTCCTTTATCAGCAGAGGAAACTGAGGCCCAGTAGGTGAGGCCCATGAGGTGCAGTAATTTACCTCAGGGCACATGTGTGGTCAGAAAAAGAACCCCAGGCATCTACTGGCCCAGTCCCCATCCATTTCCTCTGTTAAAGTGCCCTGTGGACTGGCTTTGCAGGAAAGTGGTCCCCTGCCCTCAGTCTATAGGTGTTCAGATTAATAGTAGCTTGACTGTTCTTAACTATAAATCTTTAGGAGTTACGAGTGTAAGGTGTCAGGTAAAGCAGGTAATGTAGGGGAAGTCAGGACAATACAAGTAGTAGCCAGAAATTCTTGTCTAACAGTGGCTTTCACCTGATGAATTCACGCCCCATTAGTTTAGTAGGCTTTCAAAATGGTTTTATCAGCATTCTCAAAGCAAATTCGGTTCTTGGGGCTAGCCCTAGATGGTCCAAGTTTACAGAAACTGAAAGGAAAACTCAAATATGTCAATTTATTAATCTACAATGGGAAAGTAAACAGCACAGCAGTCTAAATGTTTTTGCAGCCCAGAATACTGGCAAACAACTTCCACGAACTAAGTAAAAGTCTGACATTCTCTCTTTAACTAGAACAAGGTGTTAGGAAATCACTTCTTTACCGCAAGTGTGCTATGTGGTCACTGTATCGCAGCCTTGGTATCAGAATGGTGAATTAGGGAGCTCATGCTAGTCTTAACTGGAGCCAGGTGCTGCATTGTAGGACTTTGAGCTCAGAATGATAGACCTCCACATTTTACAAAGGAAGAAAACTTTGGTATTTATATGCATCTCCAAACAGGAAATACTGGCTCAAACATTTTTTTTGTTACATTCTGCAGACATAAATAAACATTCCTTTAAACTGGTTTAGCTGTCACCTCCGCTGTGGCAAAGCTGCCTAGGCACTCTCACTTTGTAGAACAACTACAGAGAAAGTTCAGCTATCAGAAAGTGATTCACATGGGTCTATGATCGAGAGCAAGGGCTGTGGAATCACAATATCAGTGATGAGACCCAGTTTCTGCCACAAACATTTTCACTATATTACTAACTGACTAGAAGGCAATGATGCGATAAAAAAAGATAAAAATCATGTAAAATAAGAGGAACATTTGTAAATAACAATGAAAAGTAAAAAGACATTATTATGAAAACAGAAGATATTTGAAAACATTTAACTATGTAGATTCATGGCAATACTACCATGATGCTTTCCTAGTATGCAGTCTGGCTTTCTACTCTCTTACTTCACACTGCCAGAAAGTTTTATCATCATATTTTCTATCAAGTCAATATACATAAGGTGTTATCACCCACTATTTTAATATCACTTGTCTACTCATCACTGTATAGACCACTATAGGGCTAAGATTTATATATATGTAAATGGAAGTACTGTATCAGTTGGAAACAAACCATCAAACCACACTATCAGCCAGTTATTTTATCTTTTAAAGCAAACTGCCTTATAGCTAATATGCAGCAAAAATGCTCAAATGGTAGTCAGCCAGGTTCTGCTCGCCACCTTCCAAACCATACTGTGATTTTAATAATTGTTAATGCTTCTACCAGAGTTGGAGTGAAAGGGACCTTCAGATGAGATACCCTCCTATGATGATCTCCCTATTGAGCTATTATGCTCATCTATCAATAATACACAATTATATTTTTCACAGTCCCTGTGAATGTGAATTTGGGTGCTTTCTACAATGAGACAACAAAGTTTCATATTTGCAAATGTTATCCTTTATCTTTTTTGTGTAGAAATATACTTTAATAATATCCAGACTCTTGTCAAAGATAGCCATAAGTATTGTCTTTCCTGGCTTTGGTTTTAACTTACAAGCAAAACTATAAAGAGACATCCAGTTTGTGAAATACAGTATCAAACACTTAAACCACAAATATATAAAAATCCTGAATAAATAAAATGGGAAAGTACAATAAGAGAGTTGAACTTGGGGGAAAAAAAATGAGAACCAACAAGGGATATCCCACATTCAGGTAGCAATGTCTTTTTGCATATAGTGGCTCAGGAAGTGATCCAATCTGACACAAGCCCTGAGGGCCACAGTTATAACACACCCTGGACCTCATTCAAAAAGAAAACTGAGGGCCTCCCCTGGTGGCCCAGTGGTTGAGCGCTGGGCTGCCAAGCTGCCTGCAGCCTCTGCAGAGCCAGTTCTATCAGCAGCGCAGACTGGATCCCCTGCCTCCGGCGAGGGTCCCACAGGCGCAACGGACCTCTCCTGCGGCGCCCGCTACTCCTCTCAGCAGTGTATTTCATCAGTCTGCCTGTTCTGTTCCCACTCTGGCTCTGGTGAATTCTCTCACCCTCCTGCACTTCTGACTCTACCCAGTGCTTGTATAAATAAATAAATAAATAAATAAATAAATAAATAAATAAATAAATAAATAAATAAATCTTTAAAAAAAAAAAAGAGAGAGAACTGAAACTGAAAGCCTCCTTGCAGCCTGGAATTTGGAGGGGTCGGTCTCTTGGTGAATGAGGGGACTAGAAACATTAAATCCATTAGCCCAAGAAAGTGACAAGGAATTATCAGACAAAAAATACTTGTGAGATGAAAGGACGGTGATCAGAAGTAAAGCAGGTATTGTATCTTTGAGAGGAAACTAGAGGTATTTAACTTTAAGCTTTGTTAAATCAATTATGCATAATTACAAATTTAAGGGAAATCACATAAGTATCTTTTACTTTAATAGCTATTTATTTTGTTAGATGACTTCTTTTATCACAGTGATCTCAATTTATTTAAAATTTTAAAAGAGCTCACAAAAACATTTAAATAATAATATATATGATACAGAAGTTAGGGCAAATCTTTTTATACTGGCTACAAATGAGTTCAGTTTGGGAAATCACCACAACAAAATTATTAAAGCACTATCTGCAGAGGTAGATGTGATATTTCTACATACATAAACCATAAATTTATTTTCCAAATACCATATGAGACTTGCAAATCTGAAAATTCTTTTAACCAGTGAGCTATCAAGACATGAAAATTCATGGACCTTAACTGCATATAACCAAGTGAAAAAAGTCAATCTGAAAAGTCTAGATATTGTATGATTCAATGATAATGACATTCTGAAAAAGGTAATACTATTAAGACAGAAAAAACAAATCAGTGACTGCTGGGGACAGGAGGGAGGGAGGGATGAATGGGTAGAGAACAGAGGATGTTTAGGAGAATGAAACTATTTTCTAACAACACTATACTTGAATACTCATCATTTTATTATTTCTCAAATCCCATAGACTATAATACCAAGAGTGAAACCTAATGTAAACTATGGACTTTGGGTGATAATGATGTGTCACTGTTGGTTCATCGCTGTAACAAATGTACCACTCCAGTGATAGAGAAGAGGCTAGAAGAATGTGTTGGCGGGGGGGGGGGGGGTAGGAGAAAGAAGGGGCATTGTAGAAGAAAGCGAAGTAATATATAGGAATTGTCTGTGCCTTTCACTCAATTTTGTTGTGAACCTAAAACTGCTCTTAAAAATGTAAGTTAATTTTTAAAATTCTCTTTAACAATTTGTACATAATATTAATTTGTACATAATATTTCTGTTTTTGAAGATAGTTCAAAATTAAGACCAGCTAGCATTTACTGAGCACTTTACAAAGATTTTTTTTTCCTCTGCAAGGCTATAATATACACATCATTGTCTTTCTACTTATAGTTAAGGGCATTGAGGCTAAAAAAAACCCTCAAATTTTAAATATTTAAATTTTAAATATCTGTTTATCTGACTAAGATTTGTTGGCTTGCTAGTAGTCTGTTGGCCATTTTAATTTTTTCCTATTATCTGGATTTAAAATACCTTCTGTTATTTTTTATTTCAAGTCTTAATCATTTGGGTACAACTTTCCAGAAACGAAGGGCAGAGGAACTCACACACTACAAAGCCTAGCATGCATAGCGGCGCCGGGCCACCTAGATGTGCAGCAACTCGCCCCTCGGCATTCTGGGAATGGTAGTTTTCTAACTAGCCTCTTTTCCCCGCCCTCGAGCCCCTCGGTATCGGAGCGTGATTCCGTCTCCCCTTCATCGAGCGCCAAGAAGCAACAGATCCATCCGTCCTCGCACGGTCATCCCAGTCCCAGAGACTGCCCTAGAGATGCGCCCCTGACGCCCTGCACCTAGTCTCCACGTCTCTGGCCGCAGGTTAGCGCTACCCACCTTACCCACAACTCCAGAACGCCAGGTTCCTCTACTAGCTCCACAGAGGACGCGCTGCCGGGTTGCCACAGAAACACTGCCTCCGCTACTGCGCATGCGGGAGGTCACTTCCTCATCCAGTTCCGGGATCTCGCTGGTAGCCTGCTCGGTACTTCTGCGTGGTCCGGAGGTCGCGGAGCGCGGCCGCGCCGGTGACGAGCGTGACATCGCGGTCTTAGCTCCAGAGTCTCACGGTTCTCCTGAGCAACGCGGCTTTTGCAAACATGGCGGCCTCCACCGCGGCCGGGAAGCAGCGGATTCCCAAAGTGGCCAAGGTAGGCGATAACGAGGGGGCCTGTTGTTTTAACGTATCATTAGTATAAAAAATGTAATGAGGTAGTTTACTCTTTTCTTCATACTAAATCTTAAAAATTCACTGTTTTTGACACCGCTCTTCTCAATTTGAGCTTACTACAAGTGTCTCACGGCTACTGTTTTGGACAGCACAGCTCCAGCACCTGGAGAAGCTTACAGCCTCCTTAAAATTATTGAGTATTGTCTTAGACTTTAAATGCCTTGAAAAGTCAGACTCCATGATCCACTTGGGGCATAACCGGAAGAATTCTATAGAGGTTGTAAAGCTAAATAAGATGTGATATACATCTTTGAAGCAACAAAACCTCTAGTTGAGGGCCTCCCTGGGGAACTTAGGGTTAAGTCTTGGCGCTATCACTTCTACAGTCTGAGTTTGATCCTGGGCCAGGGCGCTAACCCACATATGGCGCAGCAGACCTCTCCTGTCTTGCCTGCTGCTCCCCTTAGCGTTGTATTTCAGTCATTCGGCCTCTTCTGCTCCCCACTCGGTCTCTGGTGAATGCTCACCCCGCACCTCCCCTACCTCTGGCCTCAGTTCTGGAGGGTGGGTGGGGAAGAGAGAGAGAAAATATTATCTGGGTAGCCACAATGTTATACTAATTTAAAGGGGAAACTTGCTAAATTTACTGCCTTGTCCCTTGGGGCTTTTTCCTATGGTTTTAGACATCTCTTTTTCTATTTAGTTTCATAGAGAATTAGGAACATGTCCTATCTTCTATTCACTGATCAAAAAAGATAAAACTCTTAACATTTGCAGCACCATGGATCCATGGATGGAGCTAGAAGGGATTATGCTCAGTGAGATAAATCAAAAGGAAAAAGAAAAATAATGAATGGTTTCACTTACAGGTAGAACATAGGAAAACTGAACAAAGAGTCAGGAAAAAAAGTTGAAACTTGCAAGCTGACCATAGATTTGAGGCAAAAAGCAGAGAATAGGGAGGGAGAGGGCAGAGCAGGGGAGGGAGGAGCACAAGGGGCTATGGTGATGGTGGGTATTACCTCAATGGGAGAACTACAGGGACTACACCTGACAGGAGAAATCAAATACTGTACAAAAATCAACATTGATTTAAGAAAATAAAATTTTCTTATAAGTGGGTATCTTGTAGTAAGACTTATAAAAGTCACATCCTAAAAATTGTTTCTTAAATCTTGTGTGAAGAGTACTAAAAGTAGAATTTCTTCTGTCTTAAAAGGTAAAAAACAAAGCCCCAGCTGAGGTACAGATAACTGCCGAACAACTTTTAAGAGAAGCTAAAGAAAGAGAACTTGAGCTTCTTCCACCTCCACCACAACAGAAGATCACAGATGAAGAAGAGTTAAATGATTACAAACTAAGGAAAAGGAAGGTCAGTCAATATGTGTCTTTCATTGTATATCTTTCAATCTGTTAATATTGTTAAGAATTTTTAGGTCAGACCTTGATGAGTTCCACATTGGTTGGAGAGACTGTGAGATAAGAAGAGGTTAGTGTTTCCAGCCACCTGAATAATATAACTTCTGGTTACCATAAACTGCATTTTGCTGAACTTATAAAGTATACTGTGAGTTATCTGTTTTAAAGTACAAAGAAGTTGGGCCTCCCTGATGGCGCAAGGGGTTAAGATGCAACCTATGAAGCTGTCCACAACCACTGCCAGGGAGCTACCCACATGGAGCAGCAGACCCCTCCTCTCTTGCCCGCTGCTCCCCTCAGCAGTGTATTTCACTCAATCTGCCTGTTCTGTTCCCCACTCTGTATCTGGTGAATCCTCTCACCTCCCCACACCCCTGGCCTATACTCCAGTTCTCATATGCATAAATAAATACACCGTAATAAATAAATAAATAAATAAAGTACAAAGAAGTTAAATACACCTGAGACATAATTTCTGGTGCTGAGTCAAAGATGGGTGACAAATTAACAGGTGGAAGAACTCATAGCTGGAAGAGGGGGAGCTTAGCAATACTTTCATTAATACTTCTCTCTGAACAATCTTCTGTGCTAAGTTAAGACCTGGGGAAGACCCCAGAGATGTCTTGGGGATTTGATCTGACCTCTTCATCCAAGAATGTGGGATTATTTTAAACTGCTAATCCTCTTGTATGTACTTATTAGTTATCCTCATTGAGTTATGTATGAAATTCTGGGATATTAGAGAACTTTGTTAAACATTTTCTTATTAGGAACAAATAGCATATAGTAAAGTATCAGCTGTCATGGGCGATAGGGAGAAGTTATCCACAGTTCTGCTAGTAATTCTTTATATCTGAAGTTCTCTTTATCTGCATGTGAAATTTTAGAGAAACCTGAGACCTCAGCCTTTAATGGGATTCTTACTTCTTAAAGAGTCTAGGATGTCATCGCTTAAATCATAAGAAAATGAATAAACTTTTTAGTACAAGATAAATAGACAAAGGATGATATCATTTTTGGTTATTTTGCCTTTTAATGTGACCTTTTTTGCTTTCCTTCAGACTTTTGAAGATAACATAAGAAAAAACAGGACTGTGATTAGTAACTGGATAAAATACGCACAATGGGAAGAGAGCTTAAAGGAGATTCAAAGGTAAAATTGCTGTATAGTTTTGTGTATAAAGATGCCATAAGTTAATGTAAGAGTGTGTCTGAGTTAGTAACTTTCCAAGTTCGTTATATGGGTTCTTAGGGTTCCTTTGTGGAGCTTCAGGGGCACTCTGGTAGGCTAGTCTTGGCAGCAGCAGCAGCATAGGCTCTATAGGTGGCCCTCAGCTCTAGCACACTTTACAGTCATAGAAGTACAGTGTCAACTGCTTTCTCTACATTAGGATTTTCTAAGATAAAAATTATGACACTGAAAACTAATGACCAGTTAAAAAGCATCACCTGGCCCTGTTGCCCAGCCTTTCTGCATACCCCCTACCCTGGCTGTCCCTATATATTTGTCCACTCCCTAAACCATATCATGTCTCCTCACTGTGACACCTAGCTGTTCTCTTGGCCTAAAATGGCACCCCATCCTGCCCACCTTGGAGAGCTTAGTTTAGAATTTTCCTCAATTCTCAATTCTGGAGTTTGTTTTCTGTTGCTTAGCCTTTTCCACCAATATTTATTTCTTCCCCTTTACTTCCTTGTGCAGAATTTGAATATAACATTTATCACATTGCATTATAATTACATAAATGTTTGTCTTACTCTTAAGTCTTTGTGATTCTCCTGAGAGCATCATTATATCGCTATACTTTTTTTATCTCCATACTTTATATCTCCATACTTTTTTTTTTTTTTTTTTTTTAAGATTTATTTATTTATTTATACAAGCACTGGGTACAGACAGAAGTGCGGGAGGGTGAGAGAATTCACCAGAGCCAGAGCGGGGAGCAGAGCAGGCAGAAGGACCGAAGTACACTGCTGAGGGGAGCAGCGGGCGGCAGGAGAGGTCTGCGCGCCATGTGGGTCCCTCCTCCGGTGGCCGGGGAGCAGCCGGGGATCGAACTGGCGCTGCAGAGGCTACGAGCAGCTTCGCAACCCAGCGCTCAACCACTGCGCCACCGGGGAGGCCCTATCTCCATACATTTTTATGCGTAGACCCTGGTTCTTGATTGACACCTATAAAAAAAACAGGGCGCTTGTAAGTGGTGTGAAATAGTTGTTATGTGTGTTGTGTGTACTACTTCTGATGCCCTCCAAATCTTGCTTCTTAAGGGCTCGATCCATATACGAGCGTGCCTTAGATGTAGACTATCGAAATATTACACTTTGGCTGAAATATGCAGAAATGGAAATGAAGAATCGCCAGGTCAACCATGCCCGAAATATCTGGGACCGGGCCATAACTACCCTACCACGAGTCAACCAGTTCTGGTAAGTTTCTGATATAATAACTCCCACCTTTTTGTAGACTAGAAAAGTTCACATTTTTGTGTATTATTTTATTCAGAGTTGTAATGATTACATACACTTAATTTTCAACCCTACTTTTATTTTAAACATATACATTTTAATATCCCGTTGTATTAAATTTATTAGCTATGTAATTGTAACTAAAGCTTTGATTGCAGTTTTTTATTAATAAGAAACTTTTCATTGACCAAAGTAGTTTTTAAGAAGGAAATCTTTTTTTACCAATGTTCTTCCTTTTTACATTTATATTTTAATTAGAAAATACGGTTGGTTTAACCTTTAGAGAAGAAAAAGCCCTAAAAGCCCTATACCAAAGTTAGAATAAGAAATTGCCAAGGATCATTTCTCCCTTCAGTCTGTTTGACAATGCCAGATATTTCTGGGTGATTATGTTAAAGGTACAAGTACACGTACATGGAGGAGATGCTGGGAAACATTGCCGGTGCCCGTCAAGTGTTTGAGCGCTGGATGGAATGGCAGCCTGAGGAGCAAGCCTGGCATTCCTACATCAACTTCGAGCTGAGATACAAGGAGGTGGATCGGGCCCGCACCATTTATGAACGATATATCCTTTGGACAAAGTCTGCATGGTTCCATTGTGGTTCCAGGTGCTGCGCCTTCTAAGGCAGTGTAGTCATGGTCAGGACACATTAATGTTTCCCGAGAAGTCAAGGATACATGTTTCATCTGCTCCACAAGCTACGCATTTTCTGGGGAATTCAGTTAGAATAAAAGTTTATAGTTTGGGTAATTGTTTGAGTCTCTCTTAGTGAGACTGAACTTCTTTATGTTTGGCCCTAATGCTCTGGTGCCATGTGGAAATAATATACTAAAGCTCTGACTGTTGTAGCCATTTCTGCTCTTCTCGGGTTTGTGTTGGTGATTCACACTGTTTCTGGATCCATCCAAAGGTTTACTGTTTACTAGCCATAGCCATGTAACCCTGAGTCATTTCACTCCTGTGAACCTTGGGCCTTGGCATACTCAGTTTTTGAGATTAAAAATTACTACTGTGAGCTGATTGTGAAAATTAGATGATAACATGGAACTTTAGCAACTGAAGTAGTCTAGTCTTATTATTCACTATGTCCATATTTGAATCCTACTTGCTAAAATGTACTTATAACCCCCAAATCAGTATTTGTGCCATGTTTGTGGTTATTCACAGACAAGCGAGCAGAATGATAAAAAATTGGAGTCCCCAGTATATGGTCCCAGCTGAGGACAAACAAGGAACAGTCTGCCTTGCCTCTGCTTGCATACGGGGTGGAGACTTGTGGGAATAGTGCAATGTAGTTCAAGAAGCTCCAACTCTGGGGCCAGTGGGATGGGTTTTGAATCCCTTCTCTATCACCTTTCTATGGGGCTGCCTCAGCCAAGTCATTTCACACTTTTGAACCTTGTTTTCTGTTTTATAACATACAGAAAATAGAACCTACCAGGATTAGTTGTTTTTTTGGATTTATGATTATAACCTGTGTGAGCTATATATGCTTAAGTTATCCATTAAGCCTAGTGCATGGTTTATTTTTCTTCATTTAAATATAGTAAAACTGAGATTTAGGAAGATTAAATGACTTTTCTAGGAACACATGGCTAATAAATAGAGTTTTAGCATTTTTTAAAAAAGATTTATTTATTTATACAAGCACTGGGGTACAAGCCACAGGCGCAGGAGAGTAAGAGAATTCACCAGAGACAGAGCAGGGAGAGGAACAGGCAGAAGGACCGAAGTATACTGCTGAGGGGAGCAGTGGGCGAGACAGGCGAGGTCTGCCATGCCATGTGGGAATCAGGAATCGAACTGGCACTACAAAAGCTGCAGACAGCTTCACAGTGCTGTGCTCAACCCACTGTGCCAGTGGGGAGTCCCAGTTTTAGCATTTTTATGACCCCAAACTCTTCTTTGTATCTACTACTATAGTACTAAATTCTAGTTCCAGCACTGGAATAAGAGATGAACAAGACACGGCCTCCTCCACAGAGCTCATGGTTTATGCATTTTTAATCACAACTAAAGTAGTAGTTTACATTGTTGGAGGTTTGGGTTTTGGTTTGTTTTATTTTAAGAAACCAGTATTGTCTTGCCTGGCGTTTCCTTAATTCCCTCTGCACTTGTTCTCGTGCACCCTGATGTTAAGAACTGGATCAAGTATGCCCGCTTTGAAGAAAAACATGGTTATTTTGCTCATGCACGGAAAGTTTATGAGAGAGCTGTCGAATTCTTTGGAGAGGAACATATGGATGAACACCTCTATGTTGCCTTTGCCAAATTTGAAGAAAATCAGAAAGAGGTAAGAAAGCTTAAAGAACTTAGTTATCTGCAAAACAGCTTAGAGAAGATTACTTCTTGTGCACATTGAGTTCATTTCCATTGTCTTGTCCTTGTAGAAAATATTTACAAATTATAAAAGCATTCTTCTCAAGGTATACATTTGTGGCTATGCTGCAGATTGGGAACTGAGTGATTATAGGTTGTGTTCTAACTCTCTTGATTTTGTTGTGCTTTTCTTGAAAATTAAGTCCTCATATCTAGAATGAGACTATTGTCTCTAAGCTGAGAGTCATTTGGTATCCTGATCAAAAGGCTTTACAAATAATAAGCCTAGGAAACAAGTGCAGAGCTTTCAGAATAGAGAACAGAATTTGAAATAAGGAGTTCTCACAAATTCATCAGTTCTTTTCTTCCATATTATATTTGGAAATTAATTCCTTAAAGTAGCTTAAATAATACAGACTTGAGATAAACTAGAATCCAAATGCAGGGTCTGCACCTATCTTAATAGGGACTTCAAATTCTCTTCCAAGGCTAATGGGAAGTATTCAAGTGTTTGAAGAAGCAGAGTGATATAGATATAATTTATAATTTATAGTTCCTCCAGCTAATTCATGGAGATTACAGGGGGAGATGTGTGCTGGCAAAAGTAGAAAGCAGACTTTGGAATGGTCCAGGAAAAAAAATGAAAATGGATTGGCAGCGGGGATAGGGAAAGTGAAGGGCTGTGTTGAAGAGGTAGAAATAGCAGAACTTGAAGCAGTGAATGTGAGGAATGAGGAAAAGAGAGGACTCAAGGAGGACTGCTGGGAATTTGGGCTTGAGCAAGGAGAGGGAGGTGTTGCTTATTAAGAGTGGGAAAGACCCAGGATCTGTGGGGAGAATCAGGGGCCCAGTTTTAGACCTGTTCAGTTTGAGATGCGCAGATGCCCTCAATTAGCAAAATTAGGTAATAATAATATGTGTGGAGCTCCAAGGAGGGTGTTAGTCCATCTTGACTAAAATACTCTTTACAAAGGGGAGAAGAAAAATGTTATTTTGTACATTTTGAGTCCTTAAAATCTAGCTTACAAGGAATGTTTTATAGCATAATCCCAGAACTAGAATGAGAATATCATGTTTTAGAAGATAATCATTCTGTCTGCTTTTAGTTTGAAAGGGTACGAGTAATCTACAAATATGCCTTGGATAAAATTTCAAAACAAGAAGCCCAAGAACTCTTTAAAAATTATACCATCTTTGAGAAGAAATTTGGTGATAGACGGGGTATTGAAGACATCATCGTGAGCAAAAGGAGATTCCAGTATGAAGAAGAAGTAAAGGCAAGTGCTGGTGTAGAGCCTTAAGCCTACAGCTAGTTGAGATGTGCCAGCCAATCCTGGCTACAGTAAAATGAATAAATAGCAGCAGCTTAGGGTTAGTAGCAATTATACTGTTGATGGTGTGTCTGCAATAAATTGGTAGTTATTCCAGATAGGTAGGAATAAGCCAGGCTGATAGAAAAGGCAAACACACACCTGAATTTGCACTGCTACTCAACATGTTAAAAGCCAATTTGTAGATTACTGATCATGTACTATAGATAAAACTTCAGCAAAAGAAATCTGAGATCCACTTGAGCTCATATTTGAATGAAGAGGGAAGAGTCAGAGATTGATCCAAATACCAATCACCTTTTAGCATAACTACTTAAAGGAAAGATATTAATGATTTGTAGTTAATTCTAAGCAAGTATGTCTATAAAATAGGCGTCTGTTGAGTAATTATCTTGGGAGTGGTGGTCGTAGGTGAAAGGGGCTTTGCTATGGGACACCGGCCTCACAGTCTGTGCTCAGCATTCTTTTTGTGAAATCTCAGAAATGGTATCTCTAAGCGTAAAATCTAGAAAAAGTTGCCAAAATATGGAAAGACACTCTGCTGCCTTCTTTCAGCTCACATAGCCTAACAAGTGTAGCTTTTAAGAGATTTTGATTTTATTTATAAAACCAGTTGTTTTCTAGGCTAACCCACACAATTATGATGCATGGTTTGATTACTTGCGCTTGGTGGAAAGTGACGCAGAAGCAGAAACTGTGAGAGAAGTCTATGAAAGAGCCATTGCCAATGTTCCGCCCATCCCAGAGAAGAGACACTGGAAGCGCTACATCTACCTGTGGGTCAACTATGCACTCTATGAAGAATTGGAGGCAAAGGTAAAAAAAATGGAATTACCTGTTAGCTGTTATGGGTTTCTCACCCTATTGGGAGGATTAACGAATATATACAGTTCTTAAAACAAAGAAATTTAGTTTTAAATTCTTAGAGACCTCTCTTCAGCCATAGTTATAGTTGATGTCTACAACATTTTAAACTCTAGAGACCTTTTGTGGGCACAGGTGAAATGTTTTATTTTGTAAACTTTGAAACACAAGGTATCACTTGGTACTTGAAAATGAACTATCCCGTCCTTTAAATACAGAGTTCCCTGGGTGTTCTCATGAACAGGGATCATAGCTAAATTGTGTATTTTTGCTTTTTGTAAAGATGAAGTGAAACTTTCAGAAATTGGTCATATATAAGTTAACAGGAAGGAATTAACTTTCTGCTGTTCGTCTGGAATTATAAAACATCTTTCTTTCCTTCTGCTGTCAGGCAAAAAGCTTTCCTACAGAGAAGCTCTCAGTTTGATGGCTATATTGTTAATGATTCTTAAAACAAAGTTCGATGGCCAAAAAAGGTAGTTCACTTTTGATCATAAATGGAATCAGGGTTTGAAAATAGCAACTTGGGAAAATATTTTCATTGTTGGGATGTCTATTTCTACTAGTATTAATAAAAATATAGTTACTGGTAGAAATACTGGGAAAATACATTCATTGTTGGGATGTATATTTCTACTAGTATTAGTAAAAATATAGTTACTGTTGCTAGAAAAATATCATTACTAGAAACAAACTCCAATATTTTGTGAAAACTTATTCTGTTACAGGATCCCGAAAGAACAAGACAGGTATATCAAGCATCTTTGGAACTAATCCCTCACAAAAAGGTACATTTAATCTTAAGTGTTCTGTTCTAAACATATCAAAATTCTGCTTCTGTTACTTGTGAAATTCAGTGAAATAATAATTGATTGACTATTTCTCTGTGCTAAGCACCATGGAAAAAATGAATAAAAACAAGATACACTCTTTGCCTCTGAAAGCAGCTTCAGTCTAGTTGAAAGGTTAGCCTGTATTTAGTGCCAAATGAATAATACAGGTAGAATACTACATGTAGAATTTCAGAGGAGGGTGGATCATTGGAATGAGGAAGACCCACATCTAGAGAAGACACAGCATGTGCTGGCAACAACAAATAGTATTTGTTGACTACAGTATTTGAGTGGATGTACCCATGCATGCCAAATACGCATTTTCTGAAAGTAATTGAGACATTATCTTTGCCACATTTCCTAACATCAGAAACTAATAGAAATGCTGACCGTGTTACCTTCTAGAATAAAGGTGTAGCAGGGGTTGTAGGCCTGTGCATTACAGTAAATATTCTATATCATAGTTGCTTTTATCCATCCTAGCTCTGAAAATTTAGGGACATCTTATTGCCAGTGGTCTTTTGTTCACTGAAATTTAACAATTCAGTTTCATGGAAATGAGTTCCTTAAGCTAGATATTTTGTGCTTTTGTTTTCTAGTTCACATTTGCCAAAATGTGGTTACTGTATGCACAATTTGAAATAAGACAGAAAAATTTACCATTTGCCAGAAGAGCTTTGGTAAGTAAAGAAAGAGTCAAGATGTGTGATTAAGCTTTTTTTTTTTTTAAGATTGATTTATTTATGCATACAAGAACTGGGGTACAGGCCAGAGGTGCAGAGGGTGTGAGGATTTACCAGAGACAGAGTGGAGAGCAGAACAGGCAGATTGACTGAAATACACTGCTGAGGGGAGCAGCGGGGGAGATAGGAGAGGTCTGCTGCAACCATGTGGGTCAGCTGTCTGGCCGGGGATTGAACTTGTGCTGCAGTGGCTGTGGATAGCTTCATAGTGTGAGACTTAACCCCTTGAGCCACCAGGGAGGCCCCCAGTTTTAAGGGTTTTTTTTTTCCTTCTAAATAATTCCTCCTAAGAAAGAAACAGAAATATCATGCTTTCATAACACATTATAAACACATGAAACACATTATGAAACACATGATCTTTGGGGAAAAATTGGGTAATAACACTTAAATTATTTTTATCAGCTAGGACAAACTAACATTCTGTTTTAACATTCAAAATTTACCCGTAGTTACCAGCTCTTCGGTCAGACTAAAAAGATCTGGTTTTAGATAGAATTCCATCTTAGATCAGTTCTTTAGTTTAGTAATCTGATCCTTTGTAAATTTTTGGTGTATTGAATGCACTTCCCTCTTACTAATTGTTCTAAAATTTAATAGGATCAAATACAGGCATACCTCAGAGTAATGCAGATTCTAGTCCAGACCACCACAATAAAGTGAGTTGTAAGGTTATTTTGGTTTCCCAGTGCATAGAAAAGTTATGTTTACACTAGATTCTGTAGTTTGTTTAGAGTGTGTAGTAGCATTATATTTAAAAAAACAATGTATATAAAATAGAGCAGAGAAACAAAGTGAATGTATGGTACTGGGAAAATGGCAATACAGGGTTGCCACAAATCTTCCAATTGTAAAAACTGCAGTTATCTGCAAAGCTCAATAAAGCATGGTATGTCTGTATTATATTTGAGTAGTTAGCTTTCTGATAAGCTAGTCTCAGCCAGGCTGTGGGCAACTTCCATTCTTTGATTATGTTTTTACTTACTGGAAGGTTTAAATATCTGACATTTATATCTCCAAGGATATCCTGGGAAACTGAGTAAAATCCAAACATTTTGGAACACTGTCTCTTCCTGAATAGACGCCAGTGGGTACAGGCCCTCTCAACAGCTGGTGGCTTTGAGGTTCCTTTCACTTTCTGTAAGGAATCAGCTTCAACATGTAATACCAGAGGGCAAGAATAGATTGCCGTGTTAACTCTACATGGTTCTTGCTCAGAGAACAGCTTTTAGGACAGGTCGATGAAGTCTGCACAAGTGGAAACCACTGATATGTCAATGGTTTGGTCATTTTATTTTTCAGGGAACTTCGATAGGCAAATGTCCGAAGAACAAGTTATTTAAAGGTTACATAGAATTGGAACTACAGCTTCGAGAATTTGACAGATGCCGGAAGCTTTATGAGAAGTTCCTGGAATTTGGACCTGAAAATTGTACTTCTTGGATTAAATTTGCAGAACTAGAGACTATACTTGGCGATATTGAAAGAGCCCGGGCAATTTACGAGTTAGCCATCAGTCAGCCACGCTTAGACATGCCAGAGGTGAGAGTGTAATTTGTTCAGACACTTACCTAATATTCCTTTAGGTGACCATCTTTTAGAGTATTGAAGTATCTAACTAAATTACAGTTTTATCCACTCAGATTAGGACTTAGATTCTGTTTGGGGGATAGGAAGGTAAGGGGAAGTACCCTCTAGTCAGAGCACAGCAAAACCTCCTTATGATACCCAGGATGAACTGGGATATAATGGGTTAGGTGACTGGCTCCCCTCCCTTTCTGTTTTTTTCATTTTTTTTCTTTTTGTGCAGAAGCACTGGGACGTAGGCCAGAGGTGCAGTGGGGTGAGAGGATTCACCTGAGAGTGTGGGGAGCAGAACAGGCGGATTTTTACTGAAATCTGCTAAGGGGAGAAGTGGACGAGACAGGAGAGTCTACGGCGCCATGTGGGTTAGCTCTTTGACTGAGGATCGAACTCAAGCCATGGGGTGACAGCACTAAGACTTAACCCCTAAGCCACCAGAGAGGCTCATTCCCCACCCTTTCTCAATTAGAAGACTAAAGCGGTGAGGAGGGACTGGACAGCAGAGGCCAGGTAAGGAAACAGACAGCAGGCAACCCCATCTGGAGAATAAGGGAGATGGAAGCTGCCACTGCCCTGCAAATTCCAACCTGCCACAGGACCCACATTCATCCTTCGGTAGGATTAAACCTGAGCCACAAGGTGGCACCAAACCACAGCTCAGGCACCAATTTGAATCTTGGGAGCCTATGGATTCTCCCGGCCACTTGGCTAATCTTAAAGTAATATGACTCTGTGTGTAAGGGCGTGAACCCCACCCAGTGCATTAAGACAGGGGTTTATGTATTGCTGGTTTCATGAGTCAGCCTCAGCCCCTTCATAGTCTGCCAGCCAGCTCCCAGTCATCCAGCCACGTCTTTCTCAATCTTGTGCCCTCACAAGCTATACCTAGCAGGAAGGCAGCTGTTCACTGAATGCTTTATTTGAATTCAAATATAAAGAAATTTACATATTCTGGCTAATCTAGGCTATTTTCTACCTGCAAGTTTAGTTGCATGTAGCAGGATCATGACAGTGCCATGGAGAGTTGGCAAGTTCCTCAGTTCTTGATAAGTTCAACATTTAAAAAATGCTAAAAATTGAATTTAGGGCCCTTTATCTCACAACCTAGAATTTTAACCAAGTTTTGCCTAGCTTGTAAATGCCCATATTATATGTTATCCACATGCATCTGTCCTTACAACTGTTAATAAAAGTCCTAGGTTCCTGAATGTCTTAGGTTGGAATAGGGATATGATACTTTATTAATGTCAAGACTGACCTATTACATTATCTTTCTTAGGTTCTTTGGAAATCATATATTGATTTTGAAATTGAACAGGAAGAAACTGAAAGAACACGAAATCTTTATCGACGATTGCTTCAGCGGACGCAACATGTCAAGGTATCCTGTGCTTTGATACTTTCTTTAATTTTGCTTGAATCAGCAGTCTTGAGGAAGAAACTATTTCTATAAGTGATTTTTAAATTTGTATTTTAAATGACTTCCTTGCTTTTAAAGAGACCCTGTCTCAGAGGACTTAGGAATGTTACATTTATGCCAAGTCAGTGTTTATACTGTGAGTGGTTGACTTGGATGTCACAGGCTTGAATAAATGTTGCTCTTTTAAAAATTTTAATATTTCCAACACCTAGTTGAATATAGAAGCAGACTGCTTCAAAATTGCTATTAAATTATATATATAGTCAGTATGGTATATTCTTTGGAATGCTAGTGAAGAACAAATCTGTATGTTCAGATGTCATTAACAAGAAACTAGCTTTATTATTATTGTCTCTGGGTGACAGGATTAATTTGATTCTATAATTTCACTTAAAGGTATGGATCAGTTTTGCTCAGTTCGAGTTGTCTTCCGGGAAAGAAGGAAGTTTGACTAAATGTAGACAAATTTACGAAGAGGCTAACAAAACTATGAGAAACTGTGAAGAAAAGGAAGAGAGACTTATGCTGCTAGAATCTTGGCGAAGTTTTGAAGATGAATTTGGAACAGTATCAGATAAGGAGAGAGTCGACAAACTCATGCCAGAGAAAGTCAAAAAGAGGAGAAAGGTTCAGGCTGATGATGGGGTAAGAACTGAGACCTGGAACTGGGCATTGCATGTCAAATAAGCAGAAATATGTCCAACTTTGAAATTTGCATTTGTAATTGGCATCTGTGCAATCTGAGAATGGGAGTGAGCAGCCTCAAGTGGGAGACATTCTGGCTACAATGGCAACACAGAACAGGTGTATGATCACTCAGAGGTGGAGAATGGGAGGGGGTTGAGTCCAGGACCTCCGGGAGCTTTAAGCAGGAAGGTCAGCATGGGGGAAAATATGACAGCTTTTAGGTAGGAGCCAGTTCAGAGAAGGGTTCTTAGGCTTTAAGGCTCTAATGCATTAAATGACCAGTTGCCTAGCTTCTCCTGCAGAGGGAAAAGAGGAGCACAGATTAGAGGAGGACCTGTTGGGGGGCCTTTTGTAAGCAAAGCAAGTGGTGATGGAAGTTGGAATTAGAGTATATTTAGTAAGTGATATTAATGACTAATTGAAGGTAGGGATGTACAGGAAGTCAGTCAGAATAATACACAAATTTGTGGCTTTCACTACTGGGTAATATTAAGTGAATCTTTAAAAATTTACAGTCTTAAAATATAAGATTGCATGATGGAGTGGAAGATACCAGATATTATCTTGGTTGACTCTAAAGGAGCTGTGCTTATTATGTGACTGTTAGAATTTTTTTTCCATCAGGGTTTTAGCTCTCACTGAATAATTGCAGCAACACCAATCCAGTAGCTTATTTACTCCAGTCTTCAATGTCTAGCTCTTGTTCTTTCTGTAGTAGACCTTGATGTTGTTTTGTAAAATGAAGATAAGTTGAATTGGAACTCTGGCTTTCCCAGTGAACAATTCCCTACTTTAAATAATAATAAACACTGCAGTGTTTATTCAGCCACTTGTTAACTTATCTTTTAATTATTTATTCTTTTTCTGCAGTCTGATGCAGGCTGGGAAGAATACTATGATTACATCTTTCCAGAAGATGCTGCCAACCAACCCAACCTCAAACTCCTGGCCATGGCCAAACTTTGGAAGAAACAGCAACAGGAAAAGGAGGCTGCTGAGCAAGATGCAGATAAGGACATTGATGAGAGTGAATCTTGATCTTGTTCATATTGATAAATGTTTTTATTTTTATAAATAGTTTGGAATTCCTGTGACTCTTAAGTTTTTGTATATTTCACCACTAATGAATTGATTGGACTTTTGGAAACTACTTTTCAAATTACTTTTACATGCTCTTGGGTGAGTTTGGGATGGGAATTGCAAGTAAGGGAATTTTCTAAACTGCTGGACTTTTTTATGAGTCCAAACAATTTTTTGTCCATAACATGCACTAGGAAATGAATTAATTTTGTCTATTTTAGATGGAACTGCTGACTTTTGAAGAACCTTTTCTAAAAGTTTTGAAGTTACAGTCTGTAGTAACTTTTAAGTATACTTTCTCATGCTTGTCTTTGTATTTTATGTATTTGAGACCTGTAACTTTTTCATGTCTTCAGTCACACTGACTTGAGTTCCATTCCCTTCTCAGCCACTTAGCGATATAATGTAACCTTTATTTTCAGTTTATTCATTCCTGTATTGAATCACATATTGCCAACTCATTTTGAAGATTAAATGATAAAAGGAATATACCTGGCACATAGTAATTGCTCAGTAAAATTTTCCCAGCAACTTTCTTATTCATTATAGAATTAAATGTGCTTGGATTAATTTCTACATATCCTTACCTCCTTAATAGTTGTCATTTATTATTATTTTTGAAGACATTAATTGGAAAATAATTGAGTTACTATATTACTGAACAAAGTATTTTTTACCAAAGACATTTCAGTTCAATTTCATTTATGCTATAATCATTAGTTTCTCAAACTGGTTGAGTTCTGTATGTCTTGTTTAGAGAATCGTTAATACACGTTGTGAAAAATGATATCCATGCTCAAATAAATTTGGGAAACCTAGATTAGTTAGGCATTCTTAGTCATAAATCTTTATAGTTAGGTTTCTCCGAGGGTATGATGTGTTACTCTACATTACAAATGACCAGAAACAATACTGGTATGTTTCCCAAACATAATGGGTAAGGAATCCTTTGTCTCAATACCAATAAACATCTCCCAGTACACTGCAGTAGAAAGTACCTACCCCTAACAACTGACACATAAAACTTACCCTTATTAAAAACAACTTAACCCTTGTACCTGGTTGCCGCACTGCATGTAAAAGCTCAATAAAAGCCTGAGAAACAAAAAAAAAAAAACTTGGTTTAGAACATGTGGAAAACACCTAAGATGTTCATGCTAAATAATCAAACTTAAAAGTAGCACAAGGATGATGTCTTTGGTGATACATTGCTCACATTCTCAAGCAAAAAAAGTCTTAACTGATCTGATCGTGTCATTTAACCTGGCCTATATTTTTCAAGCCTGCTTTTTCTTTTGTTCAGAGCCTAAGCTATCTGACTAAAATGGAATCTTCAAGATTTTTTTCACTTATGACAACTGGAGAATTCATTATTTGCAGGTTTAATTGGGCAAACATACTAAGTTTGCAAGAGTTATTCACCCAAAGGAATTAAAAGCTAGTCAGTGTTACTAAATTTTATCTTAAAAATTATAGCATCAAAGAGCAGGAAAAAAAAGAATTATTAGGATCAACGGTAAACCTGTTTTCAGCCTCACTGCTTTAGTCACCGGAACAATGTTAGCTAGTGGAGTGACAAATAGGTTTGTTTAGTTCTAGGTATATCTAGTCAGCAAAAGGAGCACTTGTGATTTTAAGTCCTTTGTCTTAGTATGCACAGTAAAGGATATGATGAAAATGGGTCAAAATGCTATTACGTTACTACTCTTACAGGTCTTTAGAATTACTTGTCTATGTTGCATAAATGCATAAGAAAAAAGAAATCAGTGATCATGATCGCAATGTAAAACTTAATAACACTTTCTGGGGGAAAAAAACAAACTTTCTGGCAAATGCCAGTATGAAATGCATGAAGGAAGGTTATTCTCTCTTGGCAGAACATAAGGATTCATTTCTTACCGTCAATTCCACCAAAATAAGTACTTTTAAAAGTAAAACTTTTAATAATCATTTCTGTGCATTTTTTTTTCATATACTATGTTTACGTACTGATTTTTCAGATACTACAGGTGATGAAACTGCATGTGAAAATATGTGGTTGGGCTATGATCCAGTTATAAGGCCTTTATTTGGAAATTAGGTTTCTCTTTTTTTTTTTTTTTTTTAATAGAGGCATGTTATTTGTTGGTTTGTTTGTTTTGTTTATACATGCACTGGGTACAGTCAGAAGCACGGGAGGGTGAGAGAATTCACCAGAGCCAGAGCAGGGAGCAGAGCAGGCAGAAGGACCGAAGTACACTGCTGAGGGGAGCAGCGGGCGGCAGGAGAGGTCTGCGCGCCATGTGGGACCCTCCTCCGGTGGCCGGGGAGCAGCCGGGGATTGAACTGGCGCCGCAGAGGCCGCGGGCAGCTTTGCAACCCAGCGCTCAACCACTGCGCCACCAGGGAGGCCCAGGTTTTCTCCTTTAAAGAATAAAACAACTCTAGTATTTTTCTCTTTTGAAAGGCAGTATTTACACAAAGTACTATGAGATGAGACAGACAGGACTAATAGTGAAAAATAATTGGGAAGAGTTTACTATGCACTAGGAAGGAAGCTTAAGTATGCTGGGCAGGGAGTGTTTCAAATATCCGTTTACAAATGCTTTATATAAAAATGAAAATTTTAAGACAAACTATATATCCTAAATAACCCTCCTCAGTCCTGATTTAGTTTTATAAATAACCAACAAACTTCCAGAAGACATTCAGAGGGTTACAATGCATTTTATTATACATCTTAGATTTATACATTTCATGTTTTTAAAGCTTCAATTAATTAAATTCAATACAAAATAAAAAACATATATATGCAGCAGTGGTTCTCAGGCACAGAATTTAGGAGGAGACTGGAGCAAGTTTATTCCCTAGTGTATAGTGAATGTTATGAACTATGAAGAGTGGAAGGATTCCTTCCGACCTATCTGCCTTTTTGACTGAGTTTTATTACACTTAACAGCTTTAGTAGGTTTGCTAACTGGAAACAAGATTTAAAGTAAGTTTAGAACCTGTTTTCTTGAAGTCTTTAAGACCTACAGGGTTACTTTTCTCCTAATAGAGCTCCAAGATCATTTAATGAAAAAAATATTGTCCATAAAAAATCTGGAGCCTCAGCCTAAGAACCACTGCCCATGGTTATTCGATGTCTTCAGGCCTCACAGGATGGGGTAATGGTATGATGGATTTCTTCTCAGTATCTCTGGAAAGGGCTTTCCTCATATCTGTTTGGAAGCAAAGTGTAATGTAAGTACCCAAATATCGAACCATTTTATATCAAATTTAAACTCAATAGGTAAATTTCCCATAGATTTTTGTTCCCTGCCCTAACTTTCACCAGATTGTAAGAGAAATATATTCATAAGTGAAACTCAAGTCTCCAGTACCTCAGATGCCAACCAAAAACGGGTTCGGCTTTTTATATTAATGTTCTTTTGAAAGAATCTTGTTAAAAAATAACTTGCCTATAATGTAGCAATGTAGTAATTGGCAGCAATTACCCAGTTACAATTAATATAACTAGTGGTAGGTTCATAAAGTAGGTTAAAGATTTAAATATTATGGCTCAATTTCTAAAATACTAAGTCCAGCAAATATGACTCTTAAATTTATTGAAATAACTGAACACTGCAGTCTATAGAATGTATGCAAATGTTTTGGTTTCCTCCTAGGGTTACTACCACAGTAGCAGCTTACTTACCATAGGCGTCCTCATCGGGCTCCCCATTACTGGCTGAATAGTACTCTATGACGGTCCTGTACACACTGTAGCCCAGCTGCTTATACATGTTCACTGCGACTTGGTTGGATACCCTCACAAAAAGATCAACAAAAAATCCGCCCTTTCTTTAAAAAAAAAAAAAAAAATGTTAGAATGTGAAAAACCCTAGAAAATAAGAGATATATCTTTAAAACAATTGTTTTTACTCTGCTTTGACTACCTCTCAGAATGGTAGTAACAGGACTATGCAACTGATTATATTAACTATATCAATTTTTATTACTGAAGATTTATGACAGTAATTTTATAGTACAAAAGATTCTGTTTGCATGTTAGTATTTCACAACCTATAGGACATGTTTTCTTAAAAGAGAAACTTAAAAAAAAAAAAAAGCATTTGTTCTTTGTACCACAGTTCTGTTAGCTGGTTTAAAGAAATTACCGTGTATTTTATGTCATATAATTGGTATGCTCATTTTACCAACTATTCATACAATACGTTCACCCATTTGTACAGAGACTATGAAGCAAGCACCAATGTGGCCATGGCCCAAATGCAGCCACAGGACACCCTTCTCAGTCCTGTATCCTCTGGTCAGTGACAGCCCCTCTCTTTCCCAGGGGTCACCACACCCTGACTCCTGTCATCATTAGCTCCTTGCTTTCTATTGCAGATTTACCACTTAGAATTTAGTTTCTCCTATTTGTGAGCTCAACAAAAATGGAATCACATTTTATATCTTTAGTGATTTCCCTGTCAGCATTACGCATCAGCCTCTCTTTCATGAGAACCTGTGCATCTTCACTCTTAGTGCTCCACTGTGTGACTATGTTACATACCCTGTTGTCTGTGGTCCTATAAACATGCCCAGTTTTTACTGTTACACTATGCTGCTTATGAATATTTCTGTTGGGTCTTAAGGTACATATCAAAGGTCAATACTCAGGAAAGTCATCGTTAGCTTATACAGGGGTATGCACATCTCCAAGTGTTTCCCAGCCTGGCTGTGCCACCTTGCACTCTAACAGAAGTGGATAAAACTCCATTCCCACAGCACCGCTCAATCATTTTGATTTTTGAAAATCTTATGGTGCAGCTGTAGCTAAGGGTAATTTTAATTGGCATTTTGGATAACTAATGAAGCTGAATATATTTTTACCATTTAGATTTCTTAATGCATATAGTATTACTGGACTTCCATATATCTTTTTTTGCCCCCCAGCTGCAGTTCTCTATGTATTCTGGATATTTAAAATTATGTAATGTTTTTGCAAACTTTTTTCTAATTTCTGACTTGTCATAATACTGATGTATCTTTTAATGCACCAAGTTGTCACCTCAATGAAGTTGGTATATGAATCTTTCCTTTAGAACTAGCAGTTTTTATGGTTTAAGTTCTTTTCTGTCCTCAGGACAAAAAATCTCGTATATTGTCTTCAAAGGATGTTTCAGTTTTGCTTTTCACATCTAGATTTGTGTGTGTGTGTGTTTGTGTAAGAACTGGGGTGTAGGCCAGATGTGCAGGGGTTGAGAAGATTCACCAGAGACAAAGTGGGGAGCAGAACAGATGGATTTACTGAAATACCCTACTGAGGGGAGTAGCAGGTGAGACAGGAGAGGTCTGCTGCGCCTTATGTGGGTGAGCTTCCTGGCTGGGGATTAAACTCAGGTGGACTGAACTCAGGTCATAGAGGTGATAGAGTGGAGATTATAGTCCACCGGGGAAGCCCCTATATCTAGAATTTTAATAAAAAGTTAAAAGATTTAATGAATCAAATTGATTTACATCTGGTATGGTACCATATGGCAAAGACACCAACGTTATAGCAGTGTATACTTGCGCTACTGATCTGCAATTGCCATTTCTCATACATGTCAAAAACAGAATTGCTTTCTCCGATTCTGTTGCGCAGCTCTAGGCAGCTAGTCCAGCACTAACACAAAAGCATTACTCATTACAGCTTGATTTCTGGTGGGGCAAATCTGCCTATTTCAATGTCATTCAAGAATTTTAACTCTTTTCATTCCTTTCTTAAGTTTCATAATCAATTTAGCAAATCCCACAAATTCCCCACCTGGGATTTTGACTGCAGTTTCTCTAGCTTCTTGGATCAATCACTAGTTTACTATAGCTTATTTCTCTAAGTCATCTTTAATGTCTCAAAGTTTTATAACTTGCAGAGAAAGCTTACACAGCTGTTATTATTCCTAAGTCCTTAATGTATCTTAATGTCATTGCAAATAGCATCTTTTTCTAACTTTTACTGTATGTATAGAAATCAGCTAATTTTATGCTGCACATAGAACAATTCTGCTTACTTTTGAGAGTAAAACATTTATGTTTACATTCTTGTGGGTTTTGTATTTGTGTAATCATATCAGTACAAAACAATGGTTTTGTTATTTTTTACTGATAGGATGTCTTCTCAATTTTCATGTCTTATTTTTCTTGATTTACTGTATTGCCCAGGGTTTCCACTAAATTATCAAAAGAGGGGCTGACTGTAGACATCTTTTATCTTTTCCCAGATTTCAATTCACAAGTGGTACTTACATTTTTTGTAGATATACTTTTTTCACTTTAAGGAGGTTCTATTCCTAATTTGCTAATCTTTATCAAAATAAATGGTTTTATCAAAGTGTTTTTTGCATTTACTAATATAAAAGTCATTCTGTAAATACAGTAACATAGTGGAATACTAGCATATTTGCCTGCATTAAAACAACCTTGCCCTAATGGTCTATCCTTTTTATGAATTGCTGAATCCACTTTGCTAAGTTCTTTCTGGGATTTTTATATCCATAGTGAGTCAAATTTTCCTCAAATTTTCCTTTCTTACATTTCTTGTCATGTTTTGTTATCAAGATTATCCCAACCTTAAAAAGCTGAAAAATAGCTCCCTCTTTTTGTTTGTGTAAAGATGACTTCATAGTCATTATTTCTTAAATATTTGATAAAATTTGCTATTTTGAAAAGTCATAGTTTTCTTTGTGGGAAGATTTTGCACTGCTCTCAAGCTTTTACACTGTGGAAGGCTTGCTTATTTAAGTATACCAATTGTCTTTAGGTTAGAATTTACATAATTTTAAATATTCACACGTTTTTTGTAAATAAAATAGTTCTGGCAGTTTTTTCAATTTCCAAAAACATTTAACGTGAGTTCTATCCCTTTTAATAAATTTTAAGCATGTAACATATTATTGCTGACTATAGGTACAATGTAGAACAGCAGACTATAGCTTATTCATGTAGCCTAGCTAAAACTTTATGTGCTTTGATTAGTAAATGTTCTTTTCACCCCCCTCCCTGGCCAACCACCATTCCACTCAGATCCTATGAATTTAACTATTTTATTTATTATTTTTTAATATGTAAGTGGAATCATTCAGTATTTTTCTTTCTGTGACTGGCTTACTCACTTAGCATAACGTCCTTAAATCTTTGTCTAACTGGAGTCCTTAGCTCACTAACATTTACTGTTTATGTTTCTTGTAATATTTGGAGTCATGGCTCTCATTTCAGCTTTTCACTGCTTTGCCAGTTAAATTTCCTTTTTCTTCTTTTGACTTGACTTTTATCATTCCATATTTTTATCCTCTAGTTAACTGGAAATTATATAGTTTCTCTTTAATGTGTACATTTAAAAATACATAAATATGCAATATATATGAGTGCTTGTATGTGTATGTATGTATACACTTACACACTCATACAAATGAAGAACACTTAAATTTTAGCAACTATTCCAAGGAAATGAAAGAACAGAAACTGGAAGGAAAAAGAGCTTAGTGGTTTTTGACGCTAAAAAATGCTTAAGCAACAGTCAATTCTGTAAATACACTAAATCATATATGCACAGCATCGCTAATTTGAACCCCTGCCCACTATATAATAATGTCAGATATTTTTCAATATGATATGCCATTAACAAATATAATATTCTTCTTTGCCAGTCTAGGGGGCATTTTTTAAAATTTTAAGGGCTACAGTTGACTTCTTTTCCAACTAACACTACCCTCTCTTCTCTGAATGAGCTCAAGTTTCTCTTGCCCTCAACTTTACTCAGGCCTTTTATAAGCCATTACTTCTTAAAAATTTACCTTTATTAAATCCATCAGTTAAATGGAGAGCCTTGAGAGCTCTTCCTAGCAGCTATACTCTTCCCTGTATTCTTCTGGGATTTAGAAAAAAAAAATAGCAGCCTGACAAATGGTTAAGCCAGGAACTGGGAGGAGTCTTAATTATTATATTACTTTGATCCCAGAGAAAGGGGTGGTTGATATACACAACAGGTCTTTTATGCAGCTGTTTTTTGACAGTTCCTGTGACGTACGGGGGGGAAAAAAATCAGTGTGAACATGAAAATCAGTGTGAAACAGGAATGGAGGTAGTTGTGTCAAATTTGTTTCCAAGGTTTGATCAGTCATGCAAATGCAGTGCTCCCATCAGGAGTACACATCTCATTAGTAGGTAACCTTTTATTTAACAATGAAATAATGTTTTTTCTTTCAATTTTTTCCCCAATTAGCTACTAGTTAGACAAAGACTTAATAAGTTATGTCAGGAACACTTATTAAAGCAGTTAGGACATAACTGCCCAAGACTAAACTTTTCTTTTGGCCTAAGAGCATTGTGAAAACTTTTCTAAGGTGAGATAATACTAACAGAAAGTGGGGACATCTGCCATATTGGCAAGAGCACTACAGTAACCCTGAAGGCTAATCGCTGATTGCACCAATAACCCAGCTTATAACCTGTGGCAGGTCACTCACTTTGCCTTCATTTACATCAGTGGCAAACTAGGGACAATCATACCAGTCTCCATATGTGACAAAATTGTTGTAAAGACTGTTAGAAGCTCACAATGAAATTCATGTAAACCGTGAAGTATCACAGATGTTTCACAGCCTGAAGGAAAAACATCTTATAAATGTTCACCCAGAAGAAAAACGGTTCAAGTGCATAAATGACTTGAAAAGCAGGATCTTACCTTTCTGAAATCTCCTCTAGTAACTCCATAAGTTTAGCAGCCAAACCAAGGCGTCGAAATTCTGGGGCAACAGACAGAGCTGTGACATGCCCGTGCCATTCTTCCCTTGCTACTGAACCTTCTGCTTTACCCATAACTGCCAAAATAGATTGCATTTAGTAATTAGACACATGGATTTATACAAATACAGAAGTAGAGTCTGGTATATTTTTTATTATAAACTAATAAAATTTACAAAATTAAAGCCATCTAGCTAATGGCTCTTAGTGCGTTTATAACTTGTCACTTATACTGCTAAATCTAATTGTGAAATCAGAATAAAAAAATTTAAAAAGGAATGTCATAGTAAAAACACAACTTATTTTGAACAGATTTAAAATGTGTTTTTAAAATATCAAGTGGATGTGTGTGTGTGTAGCTATGTATGTATGTATACATATATAACTGAGACAATCTACAGCTCAATTTTATTTTTTTTAATTTATACAAGCACTGGGTAGTCAGAAGCATGGGAGGGTGAGAGAATTCACCAGAGCCAGAGCGGGGAACAGAACAGGCAGACTGACGAAATACACTGCTGAGGGGAGCAGCAGGCACGGCAGGAGAGGTCTGCGCGCCATGTGGGACCCTTGCTGACTGCAGGGGATCGAAACCGGCACTGCAGAGGCTGCGGGCAGCTTTGCAGCCCAGCGCTCAACCACTGTGCCACCGGGGAGGCCCTACAGCTCAAATTTTTGTTAGTAATGCTACTGATTCAGTGAAGATGCTACAATCCCCACATTGTATACCAAATAAAAATTTAACAAAAATATAGAAAGACCCAAGAAGACTGAGACCATGCCTATCTGATTCACAGGCATAGGCCTAGCACAGTCCCTAAAGCACAGATCAGTGAGTTAACAAATGGTTGAAAAGGAAATAAATTACAGTCATCGTGAGTATGCTTCAATTCTGCAATGAATCTAAATCAATCAGTTGAGACCTACCTTAAAATCTAGTACTAGTGATATTATATTTACTGTAAAACTTAGTACTGGTGGTATTATACTTACTGTAAAATCTAGTACTAGTAGTATTATACTTACTATAACCCATTAACTCTCCGCCAGGTGCCTCTGCAACAATGAAATACTCTGGCCAGTGGGCAAGGTACTGTAAATAAAAGGGAATCCCATACTAGAACTTGTTAAGGAGTATGAAAAGTAATGGACACCAATAAATTCTTCATAAAAGGGATATTTTGAAGAAAAATTCCTTTAAAAAATATAGTAGTATTTTATCCCCAGTTCTAAATGTATGACTTCTATAATCATATTATGCCATGAAATATTTAGGACGGCACTAATTTTTGACAAAATTGCCTCAACATATGTCTTCAAGTGTGAATGGAGACAGCATCATGTAATAGAAAGCAGAGAATCAGCACTCCAAAGTCCTATAAACTATTCCAAGTGGTCTCACTATATCTATCGATAGTATCTATCATCTGCTATTCTGCCTCCCCTTATAATGACATGTTCACATTCCCAGGCACATAGTAGATGTTCAATGCCTTTATTTTTCCATAACTGCACTGGAAAATCAGTCACTAGTTTCTACATTAGTTTGAGCTCTGAGACTTGGAAAATAACTTTAACACTTAAGTACTTCCAGAGGCAACATAACCATTACCCAGTTTTTCTCCTCCACTGATTCATATTCTCTTATTTCTAGCAGTGCAAATAAAAGATGACTTAACAGTACATTAATTTGCTCATGACTAACTCTATCCTCAGTGTCCTTACTGACATGTGCATTTCCTATATTCCTTCTTAGTGTAAACTTCCTGACGTAATTCTAAGAGAAGACATCATAAACCATGTATTTAAGAACAGAAAAAAGAAAAAAACCTGGAAAACCTATACATTAGTAAATTCTTCAAACTGTCCTCTGAAGGATAGCCATTACTTTTAGTACTTCAAATACAAGCTTCACATGGTGAGCCAGCGTCTTCCTACTTTCCAGTTACCGAAACACACAAAACCACCTCTCCCCCAGCCAACAGAGGAGCCCCTAAATGCTCACTAACTACTAAAAACCTGGCAGGTTACTTTCAGATATGGTCTTACCCCCAATAAGGAACTTTTGCTGTAAATTTAATTATAATTGCGAGCACACTATATAAGCTGATTTACATCTTAATATTTTCTTCTTACCAACAGTAAAAGTTTCCTGTCACTTGAAATTCTTCAAAATTCTCACTTTTTTTTAACATGGCGAACTGTTTAATCAGCCATAATTTTAAAAAGACAAATGTACACTGGAGATTTTTTGTTCCTTTTCCCACTCAACTCCATTTCTGCTATGATGTGGCGCTATTGTCAACTGTACTAACTAGACTGTTATGTATTACTCCATTGTAAGAATAAACATTTTAAATACCCTCTGTCTCCTGACAACAGGCATATGAATTCTTTCGAGTTTCTCAAAAACATTTTTAAATCCTTCATGGATACAGCACTAAATTGAACCATCTCTACATTGTTGTGTGTGTTATTCCAAATTTTTAATATTATAATTCTGTAATTATACATTTTCTGTAAAGCCAGATAGTAAATATTCTAGGTTTTACGGACAATGGTCTCTGTTGCTACTGTGAAAGAGACAAATGTAAGTTACAGACAATATGTAAATTATTTAGCATGTCTCTGTTGCGATAAAACTTTAATAACAAAAACCAGCAGTGAGATAAATCTAGTCCACACACCTTAGTTTCACCAACCACTGATGTAACTGCCTCTATTTTGTGTTACTTTCAGCTTCCAAAAAACAGAATTACTAAGTATTACATTGTCAAAGTGCCTTCCAAAAAACCTGCAAGTGTCACTCGCAGTTTATAAAAATGCTCCATTCACCTCACTCTCATCAGTACTGAGTTTTATCATAATTCTTAATCCTTGATCATGTGATAGGTAAAACATGGCACACCTCATTTTGAACTTACATGTCTTTGATTCTTGAGATTGAATTCATTAACCTCCTCTATGCCTCTTTTGTTATATTAACAGTTAAAGACTGTCCTCCTACCTACTGTAGTGGACATGGAACAAAACCAAAAAATCTAATTTTATGTTTTTAGCCATTGCAAATTGCAATATAACCCAGAGTACCCTAACTTGACACATCTTTGCCCACTTTTCTATTTGGGAGCATGACAGTTGTTGTTACCCAAAATCTTTTCTTCCATTTAGTTAACAATTTAGGTTGAAGCATATTCCCAGCACGTGCTAGGTAACTGTATTAAGAGGCAAGTGTTGCTCAATGAGCTATAGAAGAGCTACATGGTATTTACCAAAGATAATGTTGAAAGGGAAGGACACTGTCCCTTCCCCTATGTTGATCCTCTTCCCCAAAACATGGATGTGATGCTGTTTGCCATCCAAGACAGAGCAAGGCCACACTGGGAATGGTAGCATGGTTCAAGTGCAGAGCCTGGTCGCTGGTGACTTCTTAGAACCACTACCTGCTCCGGACTGCTCATCATCCCCAGACTTCATTCACATCGGACAGAAAGAACCCATCTTGATGAAGTCACTGCTCTGCTGTACATGGTCATCCTTACTACTGAGGGGCAAGGTGGGCACTGGGCTCAACTGTTACAGATTTATATACAGTCATTATATTAGCTCATAAGGCGGATTTAATAGAACTCTTGTTCCCAGTTGTTTTTCGTTGATTGCTGTCAACATTGTTTAAAATGTTTCCTAACCTACACATTTTAAAGTTTTTTAGTACTCATCTATTTTTTTCTTTTCACTTTTCCATCTTCCTTACTCTCAGTAAGCATTCATTTAACTTTTTTTGAAAAGGATACAGTTTCTGTAAGTGGATCCAAATTACTGAAAGAAATGAGAAATGGTAATAGTAAGCAGTGTTACAAAACCAATTTAATAATAAACCCACTAAAATTGGAAGTGCACAAAACAAACGAAACATGCTACACGTACAACTTTAAATCCAACTTTGGGGCTAAGGAACATGGTTTAAACTAAAGAATAATGAGCTACGATATTGATTATAAAGATATGCATACCCTTTCATTTAACCACTTCTTCACAAATTACTTTATAGTTAATAATCTACATCAAAATCTTCCATTATTCTAAATGGCAATAAATTGTACATAGAACTGGGGACTAAAGTGACACGTAATTAATTCAACACACACAGAAGAAAACTAGCTTGTTACCGCATCCTTAAGGCCCCTCCTGTCTTTCTCTGGGTCTGCACTGACAATTGTTTCTTCTTCCTTTATTCTATCCGCTGAATGTGGGCTCCCTCATCACTGCTACTTGATTTCTGCTCCCCTTTCCAACCTCCTCCATTTATATACTTTCAACCTGGACAAGGTCTCCTGGCTCAGGTGCTGCTAAGTGCCTGCCAAGCCAGCATGCAGCCCAACACAGGGCCCCAGAGTCAATGATTCTTAATCTATATATCTCTGCTTCCATCCGCAAGGAGCCTTCCCCCTTACTGTCTACACTTTTTGCACACCCAGTCAAATTCTTCTTTGGGATCATTAACAACGCTGACAGTCATACTGTATCTCTCTAGTCTAGCAGTTCTCTCATCTTTGGTTTCAAACTGCTGACAATCAAAATTTCCTGAGGACCCCATAAAATTCTGTTTATGTGGGTTATAGCTATTGATATTTAAAATTCCTATTTGTTTAAATAGATCAATTACATGTTAATGGGAATCTTTTCAATTGAGTTATAATGGACATAGCACATTACTGTTTCAGGTATACAACATAGCCATTTCATGTTGGTATATACTACAAGGTGATCACTACAATCAGTCTAGTTAACAGCATCACCACACATAAGTGCAAATTTTTTCATGTGATGAGGACTCTTAAGAACTTATGCAGCACCATATTACTAACTGCAGTCACCATGCTGTGCTTATTACATCCCCGTGACTGACTTGTGTACCTTTTGACTATCCTCACTCTTTCATTTTGTATAATTAACTTTTTAAGCCTCAAAACTTTTCGAAAACAAAAATTTTGTAACAAGGATAACATTGTTTTAACAATTCTTACTAATAAAGATCTTTTTAATGTCTGACTTCTTAAAAGTAAGCTGGATTCTTCTGTGTCTGCTATACTTACTATTACAAGTGCACACATGTGGAAAATTCCACTGGGTACTTGTGAGAGAATGAGAGTAGAAAAGGCAGAAGACCATCTTAGTAACATCATATGAGGAAATAGTTTTGACCTCGCAGAAACCACAAAACAAACCTGAGGAGCCCCAGTCCACATCTGGAGAATTACTACCTTACTACAGTTTGGGGATTCCCTCTTACACTTTCAACAACTAGTTTATAGCTTCTCCTCTCACCTCAACTCTCCAACAGGGCCACCCCTTTCTCAATTTCAGTCACTTCCCAAAATTTTACAAAGAAAACCTAACAGAAGAACACTTCACTGCAGTCCAATGACTGACCCCACTCACCTACAAGGGTCTGCTCCCACACTCTACTTTCTCCCCTGTAACCATGCATGGATTTCTGCTAAGCAGATTCCACCCTGTCTCATTACCCATGAACCTGCTCCAATTCTCCCCTTGTAATAGGGTGGTCCCCAGGAAAGAGGGAGGTTCCAGGTTTCCTGCCCCACCCAAAAGGAGGGTGGAGCAGAGAGAGAAGAAGCTGCAGAGGAGACTGAGGAAGAAAGGAAGCAGGATGCAGAGCCAGAAGGAGACCTGGAGGAGGCACATGGGGCCGAGAGACACGTGAAGAAACTGCGCTTGCCTTTTGGTCGTGGACTGGGTGACACAGATGTGGGTGAGAGACCGTGGGGAGGTGACAAAGGCGGCTTTTGTCTTTTTTTTTTTTTTTATAGAGGCATGCTTTATTTATTTGTTTGCTGGTTTGTTTGTTTTGTTTATACATGCACTGGGTACAGTCAGAAGCGCAGAAGGGTGAGAGAATTCACCAGAGCCAGAGCGGGGAGCAGAGCAGGCAGAAGGACCGAAGTACACTGCTGAGGGAAGCAGCGGGCGGCAGAAGAGGTCTGCGCGCCCTGTGGGACCCTCCTCCGGTGGCCGGGGAGCAGCCGGGGATCGAACCGGCGCCGCAGCTCGGGCAGCTTCGCAACCCAGCGCTCAACCGCTGCGCCACCGGGGAGGCCCGGTGGCTTTTGTCTTGATTTTGATTTTGCTCTTTTCCCTCCAGACTTGTCTGATGGTTTCTGACCCTTTTCTGTGGGTCCCCACTGGAAGATGCTTTAGACCTGTGACAGGCTTTGGGGCCTTGCTCTGGGCCAATCCTGCTTGGGTGGACTTTTACCCACAAGGGGACGGGTAACTTTGGGTGCTTGATTTGGAAACTAGATTCTTTGCCTTTCCTGTATTGTTTCCTAGTTGTATTAAAGTTCCTTCCCATTAAAGTCTCATGTTTTGTGTTGATGCGGCGGATGGCAGAACCTATTTAGAGCAGGCAGGTTTGTGGGGCCTGGGGTGCCCCTCTCCCTGCCCTGTAACACCCTCTCTCCTGGAAGTGAAGATGCTATACACTTAGCCACTGGCACTCCCTGAGGTAGTTTCCACTTTCTCCACCTAAAATGTGTTCCTTGCCTGGCTTCTGAGGCCCCACCATGCGGTTTTCCTCCCACCTCCCTGGTCCCCAGTTCTCCTTTACTCTAATGCTTGATTCCCTAGGGTGTCATGTGGGAGGCTTTTTTTTTTTTCTGTCTGCACTCGCTAATGTCACCTACTCTCTGGATTTTAATACCATCTAATAGTACTGACCCCAAATTTCTATCGTTAGCCCATATCTAAATTTGAGATTTCCATTCCCAGATGGACTTCTCCAACTGAGTATCTCGGTGCACTTGGCAGAGAAACCCAAGCCATGACAGGCCGTCCAAGCCCTGGCTTCTGGCTCTCCTCACACTCCCGCACTCTGTCCCGGCACACTGGTCCTCTCCTACCTGCAACAGATATCTGTGCACCTTTTATTCCCTCTGCCCCCAATACCCATATGAGTTACCCTCTCAACCTCCCTAGTCTTTCTTAAGGAATACCTTCCCTGGACACCCTACTGAAAGCTGAATCGCCAGTCACTTCATATTTCCCTGGCCTGCTTTCATTTTCGGCTTTGTACAGAACACTGAGTTTGAGATGATTTTCTTACCTTGTTTTCCCCTCTAAAAGATGTATTTTATAAAGTTATCAACTTTTCTTTTTTGTTCACTGCTGTGTCTCCAGCACTGGTATACAGTAGGAACACAGTATTTTTCCAATAAATAATTGTTTAATTGCAATGTTCCCGCATCCATGTATCACGCTAATCCAGTGATGCTCGAGTTCTCTACTGACATGCCCTCATCAAACACAGAAAAGGAAGAAAATGGGACAAGCAGTCCCTTTACTGGCATATTCATTCTGATGAGGCCTCAACAAGTTAAATGATTCTTCTGAAATCTAACATTTTATCATAAATTTTCCTTCTACTTGATTCATTCAATTTCATTAAAAAGTTGTCCCTTCCCAGAACTTCAATTAAAACTGATTCTCCATGAAGCTTTGCCTTGTTCTGATTCTCCATGAAGCGTGTTTTTTTTTTTTTTTTTTTTTTTGAGGAACTGGAAGCGTTTATTTCTGACACAGGGTAGTGGTGGGTCCACTACAAGGCTACCTCCGGGGCCACCTCGCCAGTGCCCTGGCCCCTGGCCAGGTTCGCTTCCCTCTGCTCTCACCGCTGCTTACGCTGGAGTAGTCGCCGCTCCTGCTCAAACTCCTTCATGCGCTTCACATAGTCAAGGTGCTCGCAGTAATCCCAGTCATGCTGCTCATGCTTGCAGGCCAGGAAGTTGGGGAAGCTGTCACGCTTGCATTTGAGCAGCAGGATGAGATAGTGGGCACAGTAATCCCGTTGCTGGAGCACCAGCTGTGCGTCGTTCATCTCCTGCTGTGTAACCGTAGTGGGGTGGGAAGGTAGGCATCCGCAGGGGATCGGGGTCCCCGACCCATCGCTCAGATAACGCCTGCCCAGGTGCGCCCCCGCCCCCATGGCAGCTGTCGCTGCGGGTTTGGGGTCACCCCGCTCCTCTCCTCCATGAAGCTTTGCCTTGAAACTTTTGGCATTTCAAGGCATGTTCTCAAATCCCAGGTCTGCACCTCTCAAACCCAAGCCTTTGTCAAGTCCTAATGTCCAAGTGACTGCCAAGACCTCCTGAGTGACTTATTTACCTTTTCTAATTGTCCCATTGCACAGAATTCCAACATGAAGAGCTCAGGCTCTAGAACAGCAATTCTCTTAACAGCAGAGATTATTGCATTTTCAAATGCTCCCTGGTGGTCAGGGACCACTCTTTAAGTTCCACAGCTCTACAACCAATCTCCTTGGAAGAGATTCCTCCCCTCACCCACTCCTACCACAGGTGTCTCTCACCTGGGATAATTCATTAGCGCTCTCAGTCCTTAGTTTACTCAGACACGAAATGAGGATCATGTGAGCTCCTATCTCACATAACTGTGAGGGTTAGCCAGGTTATTACAGTGCCAGTGCTGGGCACAGCGCGAGCTCAACTCGAATTACCTTAGTTATACTACACAGACTGGGAGAGGACAAAGAAAAAATTCCTCCCAAACGATCAAGACAACCCCACAACAATACAATGTGGCCAGTTTCTCTGACCATTGAGTGATAACCAATGGTCACAATTATGTCCTGGTTATATAGCCGCACCTCAAACCTTGTCACTTTCACTCCTACTTCTTTCCTCCAAATGTACTTCCTCTTTAGCCTTCTTCAAAGCTCACCCCCTTTTTGAAAAGTGTTTAACCACCTCATGTCAAGTTCTTTCCACCCTCTTACCACCTGAATGTGATCCACGGTACTGGGCGATGGATGATGGTAAGGTGAAGTCAATATAGGTGGGCAGACAGACCGGCAGATAATGTGGTGAAATCAATTAGGAGAAATGTTAACTGGACAGTCCAGGTGCTGCAGGTATGGATGCTCACGGTAAAAGACTGTCAACTGTTCTAAATGTTCAGAAATTCCCATGTTTTCTTAGAAAAAGAGAAAGGAAAGGAAAAGGAAAAGGAAAGGAAAAAGAAAAAGAGCCTTACAAGTCACAGGTCCTGACTTAACTCGGATTCAAACAAACTGTCCACAATGGGCCTTCACCATCATCTGCCCTGTACCCTGACTCCTTACAACAGAAAAAAAAAAAGTTGTCTAGACTAGGAAGCGGGTCCTGTAACGAAACCCACAGACACAAGCCCCACCGAGCAAGGAGGCACCGCGGTGTGATGCCAAGATCGCAGTTACTCCCAGCAAACACAAATTACCCACTACCACCAGCTGGGCTGCACAACTTACAGCTTCCCAGCAAACACTTAACTGCTGACCGCGTAACGACCTGCGCGGCTGCCACTTTTGGGGTGTCCACTGCACGGAAACGAGGAAGTCAAATCACTTACCTGGATCCGCCCAGAGGTGCGCTCGGGGCCGGCTCCCCCGCCTCCCATCACCCCGAGAGCGCCCGCGCTCTGCCCCTGCACCCCGCGCGCGCGGGGCTGAGGAACGACGCCTGGGCGCCCCGACCACGGGCTGCTGGGCCGATCGCTCGGGTGCCCCGGACCCCGGCCTCGGACCCCGCGGTCCCGCCCCGGGAGGCGCCAGGGGCGGCCGGCGGTGGTGACTCCCGCGGGCCCCGCGCAGGTGACGTGAAGGCCGCGGGCGCCAGCCCAGGGCGCGCGTCACTCACATGTTGTTGAAGCGGAACAGGTCGTCGCACGTGAAGGCCCGGAGCGTGGTCATCGCGCCGCGGCCTAGCAAGCCGGCTCGCTCGGACCCCGAGCCCGTCCTGCCGGAAGTTGTCTTACGCACAGACGCCGCGAGGCAGGGCCGAGAAGTGCTTCCGGGTCACAAGTTGCTCGGCAACCACAGCAGTGACATAGCGCCCTCTGGCGGCCTGCATCAGGAATTGCCAGATCACACCCTCACGGTCAGGGTCCTAGGTCAGAAGCTAGGAAGGAAAGGAGCAGGTAAGAAGTGTGATCGCATAGGAAAGAGACATACATATGCCAGGGATTAATACACAGAAGCAGAAAAATGGTGTTCAGTACTTGGATGCCAGGTGCTAAATGAGGAAGTGAAGCAAGAGCCCACTGCCCCAATGATGGAGGACAAGAATAGAAAAAAAAGAGGAGGTGCACCACAAGACCAAAAACCTGGCTCACAAGGAGGTGGGGGTAGAAGAGATTAACGTAGCCATTGACACAGCTATGGAAACCAAGATCCTTAGGTGCAGACTAGTATCCTTAAGCACAGATGCCTACATTACAAAGCATAACATGCAAGCAGGTATCCGAGGGCTGAGGGTGAATCCAAAGGTAAAGATATGGAGATTAAGCCCAAATAGAATCTCCGGGTCCCTTTCAAATTCACATAGTTATCCAAAATTAGCAACTAACCCAAAGGCTCACAAGGAGTGAGCCCCTCCCAAACAGAAGAAGACTAACTAGCTCAGTGCAGTACTCAACAGCACCATGGGTAGTGGTTGCTGCTATATTGTACAGTGCAGGTCCAAAGACTAAGAAACCAACATGTCCTACCTAAAAGGTATTACAAATAGGTCCTACCTGCTTTGGGGGACTCTTTTCCCTCACCCCCTTGCTAAGCATTTACTAAGGAGAACTTGAGAGAAACAAGACAAATAATGTCAAAATTCCAAGGCCCTCACATCTCTAAGTGTCCTAGGGTCCAGGTTGCTCTAGAGGGATCTCCTCAGCAATCCCTGCCTACATAAATGGCTCAGGCATGGAAGGAGGATAGAAAAAAGATGGCTTAGGCTAGGAAGTAGGCAGACCCATAAGAAGGATCTCTCATGAGTTCAAGCTGAGCTCCAGGCATTGTTCCTAAAAACCAACGATATAGGCATGTAAGTGTGCATTCATTGCAGCAGAACCTGGGGCTTACAAACCCATGTCCATGGGGACAACAAATCACCAGGAGGGCAGAATGTGACATATTAGCTCAGCTGCTGCCAGGTGTTTAAACAGAGAAATTTGTGAGTCTCTTTCATATCAGCAAAACTTAATGTGCCACATTAAATTAATGTTAAGGGATAATTTTTAGAAAATACAGTAATGATTCTTATACAAACATAATATGAACATTTATTAAAGAGTTTTTAAACAAATTAAAGATTTAGTAACTACTACTGTTACAGGGCAGAGAGGGAGGCAGCCCAGACCCGGCAAACCTGCCTGCTCTAAACAGGCTCTGCCATTTGCCGCATTAACACAAAGCAAATGAGACTTTAATGGGAAAGAACTTTAATACAATTAGGAAACAATACAGTAAAGACAAAGAATATAGTTTCTAAATCAAGCACCCAAAGTTACCCGTCCCCGTCGTGGGTAAAATCTACCCAAGCAGGATGGCCCAGAACAAGGCCCCAAAGCCTGTCACAGTCTAAAGCATCTTTCCGTGGGGAACCATAGAAAAGGATCAGAAACAACCAGACAAGTCTGGAAGGAAAAGAGTAAAATCAACATTAAGACAAAAACCACTATTGTCACCTCCCCATGGGTCTCTCACCCACATCTGTTTCATTCAGTCCACAACCAAAAGGCAAATGTACTTAATTTACGTGTCTCTCAGCTCCATGTGCCTCCTCCAGGTCTCCTTCTGACTCTCCATCCTGCTTCCTTTCTTCCTCAGTCTCCTCTGCAGCTTCTTCTCTCTCTGCTCAGCACCACCCTCTTTTTTGGGTGGGGCAGGGAACCTGGAACCTCCCCCTTTCGTGGGGACCATCCTGTTACACTACAGCTGGCTCACAAAAAATTTAAAAAGCACAGGCTATCAGAATGCTAAAATGTATTTACAAATAGGTTTAAAGTTGATCAGTATCCACAGAGCAATAATCTATTGCATCTCCTAGCCACACAAGATGTTTCTGTTTGTGTATGTCTGTGTGTGTGTGTATGAGGGTGTGTGTATAAATTATATATGTTATTTGTATTTATTTATGTATACATATTCAAGAATCAGCTTCATTACTATCAATTTTCTGTGGCTTATAGATTTGTAAAATAGGTCAAAGACAATAAAAACAACTTAACTTTGATGGGTTAACTTTTATTAGTGATACCAGAATTGTAGGTTTTCAGGCCTAGTCTCCCAGCCAGGAATGATCCCAGGCTGCAGTGGCAGCGCTGAGTCCCAGCCACTAGACTACCACGGGTTGGTGTCTCATGAAGCTGCAGCAGGAACTTCGCAGATGCTCAGGCAAGCAAGCGAGAAGAGGCAGGTTTGTTTAGAGAAAGAAAAAGATTATTGAGGAGAAAAGGAACAGAAATAAAGTGGGACTCCCTGGCCATGGAACCAGGCCAGGGAGAGGCAAGGAAGCCAAAGTGGAGTCGTGTCTCAGGGAATATAGACCTTCTTTCTCTGATTATTCTAAAGCTCCACCAGTCACTTTGTGATTGGTTAGTTCTTGGTGGGCTCACTCACTGCCTAAATGTCTCTGTGCCCGGAACTAAGTCTCTGTGCCCCAGGTCTTATCTTTTCTTCATTGCCCTCTATTTGGAATGTCTTGCTGACCCTAAGGTCATAAAATAAGTCCCTAATGTCATAAGTCCTGGGGTGTTTGATTAGTCCCCTTTGGAATTTGTTGTCCTTATCTCTGGAGCCCTCCTTAACTCTTCTGAAACCCCTGCACTGTCCTTGAGTCTGCCTAATTATCCCTAACTTGCCCTAGGATTCATTTGCACTATAAACTGGAAATTTGTGACTACTTTGTGTTAGTACTTATTTAATTAGTGGTATTATAAAAGCAATTTTGATTTTTCAAAACCACTGTGGTTTTAACACACAGACCACACTTTACACCTGCAGGGACTGGATGCCATGGGTCACCAATTTGCAACTTCTGTTAAAAATGGTGATTTTAGGGGGCCTCCCTGGTAGCAGAGGGCTATCACCACTATGGCCTAAGTTCAATCCCCAGCCAGGGAGCTAACCCATATATGGTGCAGCAGACCTCTCCTGTCTCTCCCGCTGGTCCCCTTAGCAGTATATTTCAATATATTTCAGGAACTCATGATATTAGCAATCTGCCTTTTCTGCTCCCCACTCTGTCTCTGGTGAATCCTCTTACCCCTTACACCTCTGGCCTACACCTCAGTTCTTCTATGAAAAAATAAATAAATAAAAAGAAATGATGATTTGGAATCATTCAAGTCACAGGAGCTAGGTGAACAAAGGCAGTGCATGCAAGGCCATGCGGAACATGAGGAAAATTGCAGAAAGCATTTTAGAAACACAAGCTGGGTGTCCTTTCTCACCCTGTTTATCTACTTATTTTAAAACTTACCAGTTTCCATTGCTCAGGTGAATTATCTTTTAAAAGGCTACCTGGCAGCCTGGCAGTTGTCCAGCAAATGTCTGTTGAATGACTTATATGGAAAATCATGTCATCTCAGTAGTTTACAAATAAGGTAATCATGATATTAGCACTATGCCTCAGTTTCCATAAGAGGTGCAAAATCATAGCTACTTCATTGGGTTGTCATAAGGAAGAAATTGAACCATATGGCAAGCAAATAGCTTGTAGGGTCAAAATAGAGTAGGAAAAAGCCTTGGAGGAATAAGAAAGACTCCAGAGAAGAGGGCAACAAATTCCAAAGGGGATTAATCAAATGACCCATGACTAGGGGCAGCAAGACATTCCCAGACAAGGCAATAAAAAAGTATTCTCAAATAAGGGCTGTATAGCAATGAGATTTGGGCCACAGTAGCAGATTGAGTGAGTCCTCCAATAACTGACCAATTACAGAGACTGATGGGGCTCTAGAAAAATTAAGAAAGAAAGTATATATTCCCGAAGCATGACTCCATTTCGACTTCCTTCCCCTTGCCTGGTTCTATGAGCCTGTGAGTCCTACTTTGTTTCTGTTCTTTTTCTCCTTAATAAACTTCCTTATATCTATTTTTCTAAACAAATTTGCCTTTTTTTGTTTGCTTGCCTGAGAGTCAGCAAAGTTCCTGCTGCGGTTTCATCAGACACCAACCCATGGTGGTCTAGTGATTAGAACCTAGCACGACCACTGCAGCCTGGGATCCATTCCTGGCTGGGAAACTAGACCCAAAAACCTTAAATTATGGTAACAAAATAAGCTAATATTTGCAAAGCGTTTGTAACAGTGCTTGCCATGGAAGTGTTTGGTAATGAAAATAAATTCAATATTTTGCATCTTGAAGAATTTCAATTTTATTTATTTTTTATTTTTTATTTTTATTTTTTTTATAATAAATTTTATTTTTATATTCCCCATACAATTGCAAACCCCCCATTCTGACCCCAATCCCTCCCCTCCCGCCCCCCACCCCCCAAAAAGTGTCTCTGGTTCATAGTTTTTTGTTGATTTTGATTTTCACTTTCTTATAGTTATTCATTTTCCTGGTCCCTTATTTAAGTTTTCTAGATTCCTGCTATGAGTGAGACCATCTGGTATTTTTCTTTTTCTTTTTGGCTTATTTCACTGAGCATGATCCCTTCCAGTGCCATCCATGTTGCTGCAAATTGCATGTGTTTATCTTTTTTGAATGCTGAGTAATATTCCATGGTATATATGTACCACATCTTCTTGATCCAGTCATCTATTTTGGGGCATTTGGGTTGTTTCCAAAGCTTAGCTATTGTAAACAGTGCTGCTATAAACATAGGTGTGCAGGTGCTCTTTGGAATTGATGTTTCTGTGTCCTTTGGGTAAATAGCTAGGAGTGGAATTGCTGGATCATATGGAAGCTCTATGTTTAGTAGGTCAAGAAATCTCCATACAGCTCTCCATAGTGGTTGGACCAGTTTGCACTCCCACCAACAGTGCAGGAGAGTTCCTTTTTCTCCACACCCTCGCCAACATTTGTTGTTGCTAGCTTTTTTAATATGTGCCATTCTCACTGGTGTAAGATGGTATCTCATGGTAGTTTTGATTTGCATTTCCCTGATTACAAGTGATGTTGAACATTTTTTCATATG